GAAACCCTTATGATAACTACAGGGATGTGTACAAAAGTTGTAAAGGTCCGTATGAAAACCTCCCCTAGTTTGTGTTCGCGGTAAAGTTTTGAGTAAACAGCACTGGAAACTTGGACAACATATTTTAGGGCACAAGTTTCGCAGGACCGGCTTTTGTTCGGTGAAACTAGAAAAATGTTACGCGGGCACTACTGATTTTAGTTCCCTATCGACAACTTTGAATAGGAAATAATATTTTGTAGTTTCATAGGACTTTGAACATGATATTTATTTTAAACACTTATGTGTCAATTAATATGCATTTCGGCTTACTCACGTACTTATTTGACATGGAACTCAACTAGTTTTAAGTCAATAGCAGCGTGACAGTCGCCGCGTTTCGGAAAGCTACTCATGAATATAAGCCTCTGATATGGCTTGAAACTAGTCGAGTTCCTCGTCAAATAATTACGCGAGTAACCCGAAAAACATAGTATGTCTCACGAAATTTATAATAAAATTATGTTTTTTCGGTATTAAAAAGCTTGCAAAAATTGTAAGCTACTTATTACCGACTTTAAAAAAAGAAGGAGGTAGCTCATGCCCAAATGATATACCTAATGGCCACAAAATTGTAAATTAGGTATCTATTAAGATTCTAATGAATAATGTTGTATGGAACTTATGGCGTTACTTAAAAAAAACTATTTAGGACTTATCAGTACTAAATAGTTTTTTTTTTGCTTTTTAGTTTTTTACTTTTTGTTTTTTTTTTATTTTGTGAAGTCGGTTTTTAATTTAAACGCTGTTTTTGTTTTTATAACAGCAACCGTTGGATTTCCAAATTCAAATATAGGACTTACTATTAGTTAATATGTTTTAGGCCCAAAAAATAAACTACATATTTACTACCTACTCCTACATACAAGGGTCCGGAGTATACATTCATGACAGTTCAGCCGGTACAATCAGACACATAAATCAACAACATGGTCGGCACACAAAATGTTTGTTCCCTTACGGAAATCGAATCCTGTAACCCTTAGTAGAAAATATGGTCATTCCATTGCTAAATCAATTTAACCCATATCTGCACTCAAGTGTGATTTCCTTAATATTTTATTTAATGGAGTGCGGCACGAATTATGTTATTATATTTTGTTTGTATTTTTTTTAAGGGAGGAAAGTCATCGAATGACTGCTCCCGCCTGGGTGAGGCGGGAGGGAGTGTCAGACTCTTACTGACTAAAAACCACCCCGTTCCTTCTCCTGCACGTCGAGCCGGAGCCCCGGTTACCCGTTAGGTTCTCCGCGACATATTTTGTTTGTATTAAAAGAGGGTTTGGCTTCAAAAAGGTATTTTTTGTAAATAAATGGAGCGTGTCTGTTAAATACTGTAAATAAATTATTATTTGGGTATTAACCCATTTATTATTGTATTTTACAAGGTAAGGTAAACGAAAATAAAATGTAAACTAATACACATAAAGCACAGATTAATTTGCACTTATTTTTGCAAAATCGTAAACAACGTTAACACAAGAAAAGGGTTACTGAAACAAGTAATTATAAAACCCAATAAATCTAACAACAATAACGGTAGAACGTTATGAGCACAAAGAATGAGACACAAAGACAATTTAGCGCGCCCGTTGGCAACACCGGGGCTAAAAGAACAAGTGTGATCAGACGAAAAATAAAAGCAATGGCCGTTTGTTACCTGTTCCGTACAATACAACCATTTCTACGTGCCTAATAGCAGATTTAAAATACATCGTATTTATCTTGTAAAAAATGCGATAAGCCTGCCTTATTGATTGTACCGATTTAAAATAAAAACGAGAATCTGTTTTTTTGTCACAGTTACCAAATGAGGTGGAAAAATGTAGAGTAATCACCATAAAGCTTCTCGAAACGAGTATTTGATAAAGATAACACGTTGAAACGTAATTTTGTGCGTTGTTTTAAAGTAAATAACTTTTATTGCTGTGTTATTTTGGGCTGTTAAACTAAAAGCGTTATTAACGCAGCCATTTTCTTTTGTAAATTCCATTTGATTTTCGACTTATTTAAATTGCTTTAAAATTAATATTTGCGAGGATAAATAGTTTAATAGTAATTCCACATTAAAATAAGCTGTATTTTTTACTTAAAATTGAATTCCAAATAGTATTAACGCAATCCCTATTTTCAACAACGACCACAATATTGAAAAAAAATGGATCCACTGCAAACAAACTACCGCGTCATTTGTTTCCAATACCCTTCCAATCGGCTACAGCTATTTGTAACAGAATAGATATAAATTGGTGGTTGCAACAAATATGAATCGCTCGGTCGATTTCGTTCATGCGTTCCCGCAAGTCGCATTCGCCCTATCAATCGCGTACATGTGATTTCACTCAATTTTTGAAACTGACGCGCCCTAAGAGGAGAGACCCATTACTCATAGTGTAGATAGCGCGACTTTGCACTTTGTATTTATTTTATTTATTGCTCTGTGAAAGCTTTGTGCTGTAGTGTTGTTAAATTCAGTTGTTTTTTCGTCTTCAAATTAGTGCTGTTTCAATTTAAATTTATCGCGAAAGTTAGTGTTTTGGTCTTAAAAAGTTACGTTATAGAAATGTAGTGAACCCTGTTTAAAAACATTTTGCGTAGTTTTATTATAAAAATCACAAAAAAACATGAAATGAAATTCGTTGAATAATTTCTATGAACTCCTAAACCCGGGAGTTAATTAAATCAATTTCCAAACGGAATTAATATCCAGTCATATTTAAATGCGCAACTATCTCTGTTTTGACAGTGCTCTGTACAAAAGAGTCCGGAGGAACGGGATCAACGCGGTTCGTGTCCCCTCCCTACGTAAGTATAGATGATATATTTTCAATTTTTGGCTTCCTATTACAGAGAATTTTCGACTCACGTGAAATATTGTTATTGCGCGAAGTGAAACAGATAATGTTCAATAAGTGTTTTATTTTGAAAAAAAATCTATTTATCCGTAACTTTTAGAGGTTCTAAATTATTTTATTAAAGGAATATGGTTCACTTCAGTCGTATAATGTATCCGGAATAGCGACAATTATAAATCACCTTAAAGTGAGAGTGTACTTCAGACTGAATTCCATTACAATTCCATTTTCATATTTTTCTATGCACCTATTAATCCCAAAACTCTACAGTGTCAGAACTGCTATAAAACGTGTGAAGGGTCAAAACGACCGCCAATACATCATAAAATTATATTAAAGTCAAGAGCAGGGAAAGTGAGAGGTGAACAGGCCACACTGAAATTTATTGCGGTCTGCTTTCGATACCTATTGTGAAAAGTTGGCTTTATGAGTTTTTAAAAATTATTTTCATAAAAATAACTTCACTTATTGTCGCATCGTGGGGACACAAATGGCGTCCATTTGGTTGTCGTTGCTGTACTGGTCAAAATGTAAGTGCCTAATAAATAATAAATCTAAAGTGGTCGCATAAACTGGTGGTGAATTTTATTTTGAATTTCTATGACGAAAAGTTCTTTGAAGTTAAACCCGTTTTGGATGAGATCTGAAACCGTTCAGTTAGAAATTTGTCGACGTCGTGAAAATCTTCGTTCGTGTTATGGCGTCATTTGGACTCGCTACCCGTGAAATTTGCCGCGGTTCCTTATAGCTAGGAAGTGCGTTGTGTACTGGATGCATCCAGCTGCATGTAGAATGGACGCTTAATACCGTCTCGTTGAGAATCTCGTCGGTATAAACCGGCGAAATAGAAATTTAAAGAACATCACTGTACAATGTTAGGAAAATTGCGAGTCTTGGAGAATGTAAAGAAGTTGTTAGTTTCAACTCTGAGCGAACTAGATTACAAAGACATTGTTTTTCTTAATTTAAAACTGTTTTACTTTGAAAATTAGTTCTAATAATAAAGAGACAAACTTTGTACGGCACAGAAACGTATTTGTGGTACGTTAACTCGTCGAGTACCGGTTTTGTAGACACAATTATAGAACAATAGGTTGCGGTCACCGGTGACCGCTTGGTATTTGACAGTTTAAAAGTTTGTTTGTAATTTATTAGTGGGGAAAGATTTTCAATTGTGTCGCATTTATCTGTGACAGAAATATGTTAGGGACCTGTTGGAGATCTGTTGCGTCGCTGGCTGCTGTCCAAGGCTCATGTCGGGATCAGTTCGAGTGGGGTGGGTCTTTAGATAATAGCTCGCATTTCGTTGCATGTTCCCAGAGAGTGTGCGCTGAGATACTCGTGTTGCCCATGTAATGGAAATCGTTGCATAAAGTAGACCCGTTTCGTTGTTTATTTTACACTTGTCTGGGTTGGGATAGAGATTTTGCTTCTTAAGTATTTGCTGATAACTGTCTGCGAATTTACAGATGTTTGCGTATATTTATTTAATTACTTTTCCGATTTATTTATTCTATTTTTCCGACTGCGATTGCTGAACCAGTACTTTCATGGCTGTTACTTTAGGTTTCTTTTCGTCTGATATTTAATTGTAGTTAGTACATACAAGTGATTATAAAATCAATGACATTTACCCGCTACTTCAATTCGGCTAATAATATACCTTGTTGTTAAGAGTCAAATATTATACCCACTTATCTATTTTTGTATCCATAACGTGTTCCTAATAATACCCCACTATACAGTATTTATTTTTCTGTAAGGGTTGATAGACGTATTCGTACACCCACACACATACGTCACATGTTATACCAGGTACGTTACGAGATCAGGTATCTATTCACTTTTTACACCTACATTATCTTTTCAACGAATTAAAGGGAACGTGCGTCAATTATATTCAAAGTATCTACACATACTAGGTAAGTAGAATATTCTGGAGATAGTCATAGAATAACGTATTCGATAGATACTTTTATACTCTTATGGTTCATAAATTAACTAGTAAAAACCGCTATTAGGCAAAATATACAAATTATATTAGAATTGTTATGTAATTTTCTAAACTTGAAGAAATGTCTTGTAACTTTAAACTATAATACTTACGTATAAGACCCAATCTTTCGGACTGTGTGCATTGGTCCCGCACACGTAGAGTCGGGAGCCATCGCCCATTGGTTGAATCACACGAACATGGTTCCGGCAATCAAAGTGCTGTAAAATAGAAAACAAATTAGGAATTTGTGTATTCATTAAATAATCTTATAAAGGAGACATATAGACATGCAATTAGTGACCATTAAGTTTTAATTAATTAGCTTCCAACCGGCCTATCCGGAAGTCATTGGGGGAGGCCTATGTTCAGTAGTGGATGTCCTGTAGTCAGCTACAGGTTACTATAGCTATATTGTATTGTATACTCATTTGAAACACATAATAATTTTGACTTTAAAAAAGTTATTTCATGTTATCAATAAGGTAGTAGCTATTCCAAACTAACTGACGCAAATAAACAATTTCAACTAAACATCAATGAAACATGAAATCCTTCATTGTGAACATATAACAGAAATAAAGTTGAACACAAACAATTGTAACACATCAATGGGCGATGCGCCTACCTCGGGCAAAATTCATTGGAATAATAGTAATTCGAAAGTACGTGGGTGTGTATGAGTATTCACAGGCTGTGATTATGCAAATTTGCCTTCGACATAAATATTAAACGGGACATTAATATTCCGGACGACAGAAATGCATTGCTCGCTTTACCGGTTAAAACACTGCTATATTGGTCCATTTCAGTTCATTATAGTACATTAAAGTTCTTTTTCTGTCTAAAGCGGGATCTGGTGTTTGAATTTTATTTCGATGTTCACTATCTCTTACTTGGTTAAATAATTTTCAAAAAAAATGTTTATGATTTCAGATATACATAGGTACTTAAACATTTCCTTTCTGTATGACCAACTTTTATTGCAGAGACCAAATAAGACACAGCAAAATCTAAAAATCTTTATATCAACGACCAAATAAAGTAGTCGAACTAGTCATAAATTGATTAAACATTCAATCATAAAATAACAATATGAAACAAAAGTTCCACAGAGCGAATACGAATCAAAGTGTTTATAACAGTAGATTGGTATGTGGTCTTCGCGGTCAGTCGTCAAGCTGGAAACAATTTTCTGTACGTCAGAACAAAAACTCCACATGCCAGAGGTATTCCGATTTTGCCACTCGAAAGGAGATTTTATTTAATGTTTTTATTATAGAGCGTCTGTTGCCCCTTTTAAATGATTTATTATTATTTCGTTATTTGTTGTTTATTGTATTGTTATCTTTATTGTAGACGGCTCGCTTATTTTTATCATATTTTTATAAATGTTTACATGGCATGTTTAAAAGTTAATTGCAATTCGATTGACTTAACATACAAAAAGTTGTTACCTTAGTCGATAAACTTTATCGTGATTCAATGTTATTTTCCACAGAAATATTTCGTTCGTTCCGTTTTTTTACTCATTCAAACCAAATATGAAAATGTATCATGTATCTATGTTGTATTTTCAAAGGTAAAATAAATAACCACGAAATACAAGAGAGCATGACAGCTACGAAATTTTATTACCCTTAGGAAAAAATAAAGTATTACCCGTATAAAAAATTGAATAAAAATGTAATGAAATGGACATACATATACTGCAGCTCTTTGTTTGATTGAGTAGGTAAGCAGCGAACAAATTGTATTACTTTCTAAATACACAAAATCAGAAAACGTAGTAAAACTCCAGTTGGAATAGGCACGTGTAAGTAAGCAATTAACCGAGTGCTTTGTTTGTTAATAAAAAGTTTTGCAGCGTTTCTTTGGTTCGGCCGAGCACGGTAACTTTCGAAGAGATTGTTCTAAAGTAATTATCGGATTAATATACTGTGAGCGCTCAGCCACGGTACTGACGTGAACACAAAACTGTTTTGCACTCGGAAACAATCAGAATTAAGCAAGAGAACAATCAAGCTCGCGTCTAAGTTTCTTTTAACGGCACTTAGCCGGCAGCGCTCGCATAACTCCACTCGGAACTAATGCCTTCGATTGGACCATTTCGTTAATTATTCGCCACTTTATACGTAAGTAGATTTACGGCGGGCTTTCCTCGCGTTTTTCTACCCAAAAGGTTTCCTTCTTGTTTTTCTATAATGGTTTTTATTAGGAATTTAAGAGCGCTGATTTGCATTACCAATGCGGAACATTTTATTGCTTTTGCCACGATACTCGTACACAAAAGTCGTAATAAGCACTGGGAAATTAAAAGAAATGTATTGTAAGTGGGTTCCGTAAGCGTACGTCTGAGAAGCAGCTTGGCATTATTTATTTCGTTTTCCTTTTTAGGCTTTTTGCTGGTGGTCAAAATGTTTTTTGCACACTAATTTGTATAAAAAGCATACCATGAAATGCGTTCTCTGTCTGGTTCGTATTTTAAGCTAATGAATAAAACGTTAGGGACTTGATTTTTGGAAAACAACTTAAGTACTAGAGGTATGGATGTAGGTCTATATCTAAAAGCTTGAGTTTCTGATTTACCTAAACCAGTGAATTCTCTTTAATAGCGTCACAAAGAGCGGTAAAGTTAAAACAACAAGGCGAGCGTCGAGCCGGTGACCGCCTTAAGGAATTTGCCGACGGCATTTTTCCAGCCTTTTTCGTGTTACGACATCGTGTTTAGAGAAAAGAAAACTCGCCGACAGCAAGAAACTTTGATTATAGTCTTCACGAGTGGCCGTTCCATTCGCGATCGAGGTGATAGACTCGGGGATATTTCTTTTTTATAGCCCCCTTTGATACTAATAAAACAAATTTACTTTTTTCTCCATCGGAAGAGTTGGAGTGGGTAGCATGTGGTCTATTGCTTTTCTTCTCACGCTATGGCGGAAGTTTGACCTTTTATTTGCGTGGTCTATGTTACCGCGATATTTTGTTGCAGTAAACTCGTGAATTTGCTTTTGGCAATTTTTGCGTCTGCCGTCGTTACGGTACACCTTTAAAAGCCACAAAGAGGGTTTATTGTTCACGGCAAGACTTTATACATTTCGCATGAGACAGCCTATTTCTGGTTGCGGGTTTTATGTCTCTCTTATTAGATATAAACGTGTCTGAAGAAGCCAACAAAGAGTTATAAATATATACGACACCATATGCAGAGTCATCGCCACTTTTATTATGAGAAAGTATAAATAAGGCTGCGGTTGTATCAGCGAAAACCGAACATTTTAAGAGAGCGAAATGTAGGAAACCACTGAAGTGGAGTGTTGGTGTTCGTATAGAGTGGGTATTATCGAATTAGTGGATGACGCACCGAGGCAAGTCGCTGTAATCGCCGTTCCCCGATCTTCGAGACAGCCACCGACCGCCGAGAAATAAAACAAATATTGCTTTTACGTTGCGATTGTAAATCAAAATTAACGGCCTTAATATAGCGCGGTAGAGCATGGCTGTAAGCCCCCCGCTATGAAATATGCTTGCCGCCCGCCGCTCACTGTTAAAAATGGGATTAACCCTTGATGGAAATAGTGCTAGTTGTGAGTAATTTAGCAAGAAATGTGGAAGACTTAATCTCATTTGTATGATACTTATGTAAGGTGCTCAGTTCACACTTAATTAACTTACCTCTGATTTTCCTTTGGATACGCATTGCGCAACGTTGCTGGGCTCCAGATTTATGGAATCTCTCTGTGAACAAAAAATGTTAGTTAATTTCAGGATTCTGTTATTCTGTTAATTGTTTAGTATTGGGCGTGCTTTTTAATTCATACAAGACTGACAATGTATTTGATTGAAAGTACATTTTATATATAATTATACTAAAATATATTTTTTATGACCAAAATATTCTACTATCAACGTAGATCAATAGATAACTTACTTCACAGTGTGATGCGCTGATGTTATTCATATTCAGCCGATACAGTCGATCCCTGGAAAGAAGTAGGCATCATAAGCAAAATATAAAAGGAATGTTGTAAAACTCTTTTAACTTGGGCTATTTGAACGGAAAAGTTTACTCAATTTACTGCGGACTACAGGGGGATATGTTACAAAGTTGCGTAAAAGTTACCATAACATTTATAGAATCATTTTATGGTTCAAAATGCGGTTCTGTTATTCACCGAACGAAATTAGTTACCTTCGTGACACACACGATTGACCTATATCACCTCTTTTTATTGAATCACCAACGTAAGCTGACCCTTCTGATTCCTTGGAATATCTTTACTTTGGGTGATTGTTGAGTAAAACTATGAATAACCAGAGGTCAAGCTGGTTTGGTTGATGGGTAACCGTAGCGAACCAAAGGTAAAGTTGATACGGTGGCACTCGTAAAAATAGCTATTTGATTGTATTGGAACGATTGGTTTTTGTTTTGTACCGAGAAAATGATAGATACGTATACATTTGAATTGAAGACCGAAATCGAATTTGACTTTGTTGTGATATGTGAAGGATACAATGATTACAAATGATATAATTCCATTCTATGCACCTATAATCATACAGCATGAGAACTGGTATTTTGCTCCCAAGTATTTCTAGAGGAAGATTACCAACTGATAGAATATAGCCTATAAATGAATTGCTTAGTATGAGTCGATTGTTGAATTGGTAAATAATCAATAGAAGATTGATACAAACTCATGTAGGTACCTACGTTTTGGAGAATAAGTATTTGACCCATAAATAGAAAAATTTGATGAAAATATATTACATGAAATTTTCCATAAATTTTTCGTACGTTTTTGAAATAATGTGAGTAATTTTCCACTAATACAAATATCAGTATAGTTTAAGTTAGTGTTCTAATTGACTCAAATATAATACTTATGTACGAATTAATTTCTTATAGATACTTACATGGCTCCCACGTAAAGAGCATCTCGTTTAGAATCCACGAAGAAGGTTCGATAGTAAAGTGTGCCACAGGAGAATTCGCGTACATGATCTGGAAAGATTAAAAAACAATTTTAATATTATGAGTAAACTATTAAACATGTATTTCTTTTAATAAATTAAATATAATTTTTGTTATTTTTAATCTATATTTTGTATCGACAATATCACAAAACAGAATAACAGCGCCATCTATCTCATAGTATGTAATACATTCCCGTTTTGAAATAAATTAGTAGTTCATTGTCTGTTGATCAAGCATTTTCATTTTATAATAGGTTATGTGCCCAGTGTAGTTTTTTGGTGTTTTTCTCGCAATTTCTTGGACATTCTTAGTGGAAATAGACTTTGCAGATAGAGATAAACATTTTTAACGCTGTGACTGTGAAAATGACGACGAACTACCTTGTCAGTGTGCCTAAATTAAAAGGGCGGGAAAACTATAGTGAGTGGGCTTTCGCGGCTGAGAATTTCTTAATTCTGGAGGGAATGTCTGATTGCATAAAATCAGAGACTATACCAGCAGTAATAGGAGCAGCAGGTGACGCGAAGACCAGAGCTAAGCTGATTCTGACGATAGATTCCTCACTGTACGTGCACATAAAAAGTGCACTAACAACTTATGAGCTGTGGAATAAATTAAAGAACCTATTTGACGACTCAGGATTTACGAGGAGAATCAGTTTACTGAGGAGTCTGATTTCTGTACGACTGGAAAATTGTATTTCAATGACTTCGTACGTGACACAGATCATTGAAACGAGTCAAAAATTGAGTGGTACGGGTTTTAACATCAATGATGAGTGGGTCGCATCGCTTTTATTAGCGGGATTAACAGAAAAATATTCTCCAATGATAATGGCGATTGAGCATTGCGGCATACCATTAACAGCAGACGCCATTAAAACTAAGTTGTTGGACATGGAAGAAAGCGGAAACAGCGGCGACCATAGTGCCAATGGCACGTTTGCGAGTTTTAAGAAGAACCGGAACGTTGGTAGCACTGCGACCAGAGACAACGCACAAAAGTCAAAGCCAAAAGTCATCACTTGCTACAAATGTAAACAAACAGGACATTACCGCACTCAGTGTACATTGTCGAACAAAAATTCGCCGAATACTAATAAAATAGAACGTACGAACAGTAACGCATTTAGTGCCGTGTTCCTTAATGGTGAATTTTGCAAAAGTGATTGGTATATTGACTCAGGGGCGAGTGTTCATCTTACTGCGAACGAAGAATGGTTGTCGAATGTGTCACAGGAACATACGATCAAGGAAATTGTCGTGGCAAACCGAGATAAAGTACCTGTATTATGTACTGGAGACGTGCAGATTACGACAAGCACGCGTGCCTGTGATTACGATATTACAGTGGAAGGTGTATTATGCGTACCGAAGTTGACTACAAACCTGTTGTCTGTTAGTCAACTTATATCAAAAGGAAATAAGGTATCATTTAACAATGTTGGCTGTCATATTTTCAATCAAGCTGGGGTACTGGTTGCTACAGCGAGTTTGTTGAATGGGGTGTACAAACTAGACATGCCTGAGCCTGAATGTTCATCAGCTGCGGTGATGATGTCCAGTGATGTTTGGCATCGACGTCTGGGTCATGTTAACAGTCAGTATTTGCAAAAGATGCAAGATGCTGTAGAAGGATTGACACTTGACAGTAAGACTGATATATCAAAGTCATCATGTGTAGCATGCTGTGAAGGCAAGCAGAGCCGTTTACCTTTTCCCAAAGAAGGTAGTAGAAGTACTGATTTGCTACATATTGTGCATACTGACCTCTGTGGACCAATGGAAAACCAATCTTTAGGCGGCTCTAGATACTTTATGCTGTTAATAGATGACTTTAGTCGTATGACATATATCTATTTCTTGAAAACGAAAAATGAGGCATTGAAATGCTTTCAACAGTATAAAGCAGAGGTTGAGAATCAACTTAATCGCAGCATAAAGATCTTGAGAAGTGACAATGGGACAGAATTCTGCAACAGCAAGTTTGATGATTTTTTGATGTCACAAGGAATAGTACATCAAAAATCAAATCCATATACACCTGAGCAGAATGGCCTCTCAGAACGATACAATCGGACTGTCATTGAAAAAGCCAAGTGTCTATTGTTTGATGCAGGTCTCGAGAAAAGATTTTGGGCAGAGGCTGCACACACTGCAGTGTACTTACAGAACAGGACTGTGACCACATCATTAAATTATAAAACTCCTTTCGAGGTATGGACAGGCAGAAAGCCTGATGTAAGTCACTTACGTATTTTTGGTAGTACAATCATGGTACATGTACCGAAACAAAGGAGATTAAAGTGGGACAAAAAGTCCGAAAAATGTATCCTTGTTGGCTATTCTAATGATGTCAAGGGGTACAGGATTTATAATCCGAAGTCCAATATCATCAGTACCAGTCGAGATGTTATAGTATTAGAGAAGATAGAGAATGAAAATGTTCTGGAGGTACAGGAAGGTTGTTCAGATGAGGTGAATACGGTTCCAGTGGGGGAAGAAGATTTGACACTTCAAGATGATTCACCTGAACAATCAGAGAGCTTGATCGCAGATGACAGCGATGAATTGTATGTACCTAGAGAAAATGAAACATCAGATAGCTCTATGTATGATACAACAGAAAATGAAGATTCTATTGTATTCAATGATGTCAACATAACTGGTCCTCGACGAAGGCAAAAGCCTGACCGGTATGGATATGTAAGTGCTGTTTTTGAAGATGACAACATGTTCACGGGTGAGCTTTCATTGCAAGAGGCCTTGGAAGGTCCTGAGAAAGCACAGTGGTTAGCGGCTATACAGGATGAATTACAGTCGTTCGAGAAAAATAGTGCATGGGAACTCATAGATATACCAAAAAATGGTTCGGTAGTGCAGTGTAAGTGGGTGTTACGTAAAAAGTACGATAGTGAAAACAATGTGCGTTACCGTGCTCGTCTAGTCGCAAAAGGCTTTACTCAAAGACATGGTGTAGACTATACAGAAACATTTTCGCCCGTAGTGAGACATACAACCCTTAGACTATTATTTGCACTGTCTGTAAAATTAGGTTTACATGTTAACCACTTAGATGTCAAGACTGCGTTCTTGAATGGTGATTTAGAGGAAACCATTTTTATGAAAGTGCCAGATTGTTATAATAGTTGTAATTCAGTTGGTAAAGTATTGAAACTTAAAAAGGCTATTTATGGACTAAAGCAAGCCTCTAGAGCTTGGAATACAAAAGTTGATAATTGTTTGATCAATAATGGTTACAAAAGGTCAAAAATAGAGCCATGTATGTATATAAAGAATGTAAACAAATGTAAGACCATTGTAACAGTCTATGTTGACGATTTCTTTATATTTTCCAAAGATGAAATTGAAACTAAGAATTTGAAGCATATTTTATCTAATAACTTTTGTATTAAAGACTTAGGTGAAGTTAAATTATGTCTTGGAATGAATGTAGCTTTCAATAAAGATAATGGATATGTAACATTGAGTCAGGAAAACTATATTGATCAACTTTTAAGCAAATTTAATTTAACTGATTGTAAAACTGTTGATACTCCAATGGAGGTTAAACTAGACATAAATAAAGGTCAAACAGGTGTAGGTAGTAATGTGCCCTATCAACAACTGATTGGCAGTCTGATGTATTTGTCAGTGTTGACTAGGCCAGATATTAGTTACTCTGTAAGTTTTCTAAGTCAATTTAATAATTGTCACACAAAGGAACATTGGGAATATGCAAAGAGAGTATTGAAATATCTGAAAAGAACTAAATCTTATGGAATAAAATATTGTAAACAAGGTAATTCAGAAATTACAGGCTATGTAGATGCTGATTGGGGCTCTAACTCTATAGATAGGAGGTCATATACTGGTATGTGTTTCTTGTTGTTTGGTGGTGTAATATCGTGGGAATGTAGGAAGCAGAAATGTGTAGCACTCTCTAGTACTGAATCAGAGTATGTTGGTCTATCTGAAGCATGTAGAGAAGCATTATACCTGAGGGAATTACAATATGAAATAACCGATAAGATGTACACAATAAGTTTATTTAATGATAATCAGGGCGCACAGAAACTGTGTGCAAACCCAGTATTTCACAAACGTACAAAACACATTGATATTAAATATCATTTTTGTCGTGATCTAGTGAAAGATAAAATTGTTAAAATATTGTATCTGCCTACAGCTGATATGCCAGCTGACATTTTAACTAAAAGCTTATGTTCAGCAAAACATTATAAATTTATGTTGTTTCTTGGTATAGTTCGTATAGAATGATTTTGTATGAAATTGTTTAGTGAATATTGCGATAAGTGGGGGTGTTATTTTTAATCTATATTTTGTATCGACAATATCACAAAACAGAATAACAGCGCCATCTATCTCATAGTATGTAATACATTCCCGTTTTGAAATAAATTAGTAGTTCATTGTCTGTTGATCAAGCATTTTCATTTTATAATAATTTTATAATTAATTATTAATTATATAACATTATTTATTATATAAAATAATGTTCTCATCTTAAAAAGTTATTCTGGAAAAAGTCACGTTGGAATGTCCATTGCCTATTCTTATGTTTGAAAAGGGTTGGAATTTTGCATAGCGAAATTTTTACATCACATTTTTTACGACAAGAATATACTTAAGTTACATTTTAAATAGAAAAAGATCAAAGAGTAAAAAGACCTGTGTATTCAGACACGTCTCAACTATTTGATACGCACATCAAAGGCATGGTTGGCAATACTTTGTTCGTGTTTAATATAACAAAATATATTTTATTACTTTGAATTATGACACTCACACAATTAATTATAATTATTGGGTTTTAGTTTGTGGTTAGTTTAAAAGAAATGTGCATGTTTTTCCAAAGAAAATGTTTGAGCATGCTTAGAATTTATAGGTGCAAAAATAATAGCATTTTAAATTATATATATTTGCTGACTAAATATGGCATTAATTATTTTATTTTTTTTAAACTTCATTGAAAAGTTGTATGTCACATAGAAGGTAAAAATAAAT